ATATAATAAATACTGCAATATTCCATAAAAAAAAAAATCTACTTCACTTTCCCGCAACACTGCACACCTGGGACTTTGAAGTTTGTTTTCAGTAATCTGTGATGTTTAGATCTTCTATTAGTCACACATTTTTAACATACGAATCCAGAGGTCAGAGTTCACCAAACTTCACACACTTGTAAAACTTCAAAAACACAACTTAAAAACGTCGCAATTGTGAGTTATAAAGTCAGAATTGTGAGATATAAACTCGCAATTCTGAGAAAAAAAGTTATTTTTCAGTTGGACTTTATAGTTCACAATCGCTTGATGTTTATATCAAAATATTCTGAGAAAAGAAGGCAGAATTACGAGAGAAAAAAGTGAGAATTGCGAGACAATTTCTCAATTGTGAGAAAAATGTCAAAATTGCAAGTTTACATTTCAATTTTGAGAAAATAAGTTAGAAATGTGAGATATAAACTCAAAATTGCGAGATAAAAGTCATAATTGCTTCCATTGGTCTCCCATGTTCGTATGGGTAGTAATAAAAGTCAGTGGAGCAAAAAGTGTACTTTATGACTGTTTTATGATAACCCTATGGTAGCATTTTTCTTCATACTACCATATTTATACTAATTCATACTAACTCCTATTCTATTTTAATTCTACTTTATCTATTTATCTTTTTGTGTGTGTATATATATATATATATATGTGTGTGTGTGTGTGTGTCTAAGAAAAAAATGTGCACTTACATATTGTTGCACTTTTGTTAGTTTTGATTGCTTCTATTGTCCTCATTTGTAAGCCGCTTTAGATAAAAGCATCTGTTAAATGACTAAATGTAATGTAAATGTAATATTTGACAATTGCAAAATACTTACATCTCCTATAAAAGCCTTTGTCTCAGGATGTGTAGTGAAATGACACGTGTTAAAATGGTTGGATGACCTTAGTATATGCTCCAGAGACATGTGACGTAACCACCAGATTAGGATGTAGATTCATTTCTTGGAATGGATCTAAGCACAGAGATAAGCGCATCTGGCCAGATAGTATTTAGTGAACATCATAAAAACATTTTTGGATCATCTTTATTGTACAAAATTTTCACTGTGCATATTTTTCATGATCTGCTTGATACTCATTTACACGCCTTTAGTGCTATAATGCTATGTTTGTAATACTAATAATAGAGCAGTAAGCCTACAATCGAGTGTGACAGTTCCACACAGGCGGTATCATTTCCACTGGTGTGGAGAGATAATTAAAAAGATCGTGTTGATTGACCTACTCAAATGTCCTTAGTCATGTGGCTGTTAGCGTACAAAGACCAGCATTAGGTCCTGAGGCTCACATGACGAGACTGCAAGCAAAACATGCAAGTCACGATTTGTAATCCTCAACCTCCTGTCTTCAGGCAGCCTGCTTGATCTTATCCAGTCTGTCACACATTGTGAACTGTGACACAAGGCAAAGCCAGGTTATTTGACTGCCTCCCGCTTGCTGGAGTATACAGAGAAAGTCAATATGCTTCTCTTCAGGAAAGGCAACATATCCACAGGCCGCTGTCCTTTTGAATGTCACTCTATTCTGGGCCAGCCACCTATGGATGATTAATTAAGGTCACTGTACTGCCTCACAGCCCTGCCAAAGAGAGCAAGGGATTACAAGATGAAAAACCCCGGTGTGATATTTTATACGTTGACAGCCTGTAGATTAGGAAGTCAATGGAGAGTCTAACCATCTAATTAGCTAGCTGCATATTTAACGACTATTAGGAAAGAGAACACAATCATTCTTAATAACGAGATTTTCAGAGTCGATGTGTTTACACCATTCAGGGAAATCAGCCTTACTTATAGATGGAGAAAATATTTAACATTAAAAAATTACACTTCACTCATGCTGAATGGACTCCGATGTAAACCTCCAATTTGAAGAGCTCTGATAAGTAATAAACAATGTGATATGTGGCCAGCCAACGTTAAGTGTGTTACAAGAAAAACAAAAATTACAAAAACAAATAAAACATATTATTTATCTCATTTGCATCTGCAAGGTGTCTGTTACACTGGGTGTATGGAGGTTTGGCACCCACCGGCAGAAACATAAATCGTCACCTATTATTTGCACTATGGTGATATCTACTGTTAAAAAAGGCTTTTTTATTTTAAAATGCTCGCTAACCACATTAGCGTTTTCCAAAAGTTTCTCATCCACACTAAAACATCAAAAACCACTAAAATCATCTTACTGCGTATGTGTAAAATATAATAAAAGCTCACTGAGATGATACAGGGAGACCAGACATAAAAAAGTGTTCATGCTATTCGCCTGCCAAGATCATTTTTATAAGCAAAATATCCTTTGTGTTGCACTAACTGGTGTATCCAGGTCGCACAGAAAATTGCCATTTCATGTATGGTCTAAATTGCCCTCATGTTTTCCCTTACCAAAAAGTAGTATACTTCAAGTTTATTTTATTAAGTATACTTAAGTAAAGTTCAAGTATATTTTAAGTATACTTTATGTAGTAAGTATACAAATATCAGTGTACTAGTAGTATACTGTAAGTATACTATTTCAATACTCCTTGGGACTAAATTGGCCACTTTCTAGTATATAAAAGTATACTTTTAAGTATACTTTAAGTATAACAGTAGTAAACTTTGAGTACACAACTAGTTTACATCTATGTTTTTAGCTTGTACTGCAACTATACTAAAAGTGAACTTATAGGTATACTGATAGTTTACTAATTAAATACTTAGTAGAAGTATACTAATAGCACACTTGAATAAACTTCTTTTTCATAAGGGTTGCCACTGGACAGCAATTGCAAATAAATTTTCTGTCATCTTTGCAGGAAAGTAATATGAAGATTGTACAAAGTAACATTTTTAGCAACACAGTAAAAGTGTACAGGGCATAACAGGCACATACAAGTATAAACTCAGACAAAAAAGCTCAGTTTTGGCTGGACAAAAGTGTGTTTTCAGTGTAGACAGAAGGCCAAAAATGTAGAGGAAAAAGATGCGTTATTGCGTTAAAGATGCGTATCATTACAACAAACAATTATTAGTATTGATGAGATGAAGCTGGTGAACGTGGCTTGAGGTGAAGTTATGTTGTAAAGTGCATGAGTGTTCGTTGTTCCTGTCTTCGTGATGAATGAGATTATAACAGCAGCAAAGAGCTGATTTACAAATATTGCTGTGCATATAAGTAATACACTCTTCTGTCTGACTACAACAAAGATCTATTAATTTTTCCTATGCATTTCAAACCAGACTGACAATATAATTCAGTGCAGAATTCAATTATATAAGTGTAAATATATTAGCTCATAATAAAGGATGTCTAAGTCACATTATTAAAAGGATTGTATGGATTCTGTATGCTGATTGGTAAATATACACTGAAAAAAGTACAACTTTAGAAAATCTTTTTTACAGGGATAGAACCTGTACTAAAATACAAAATATAGTAACACTGCGTCTATAGTTACAGTGTAGCAAAACCTATTTTTTTCTGCCCTAATGCTTTAATCAAAATAACATTTGATGGATATTATATATTTAGATTTGAATCTGTAATATTGGACCAAACTTTCGCACAGCTTTATCCACAAAAACTATTACTTGCAAAACACAACAGGGATCAAAATCAAGGGGGACTGATTGAGATCCCCGTCTGCTGATTGTCACTGCCCTATTCATTAATTATTCAGCACAATCTACTAGTGCTGACAGACTGTCACGGGACTTCAGACTATCCACAGCTCTGTTGGCTCAACATCCAAAGCTTGTTCAAAGAGCCAGTTTTTGTCATTGAGGTCAAAGCTCTCAGAACTATTTAATGTAACATACCAAAACAAACATTAGACCAAACTAAATTGCAATTGGCTTATGTAAACATTATTTAGTCTTTCTCTGTAAAACAATTCCAGAAAGATGCTGTGGTTTTGAGTAAAATTATATCTTTATAATATAACCAGTGGTCTAGATGATTTTACAGTAAGTACCTTTGAGAGTCATAACCTTCTGCAGTCAGCTCTAGTAGGCCTTGACCCTCTAAAGAATGAACGATTTGTCTAGACAGTTTCGATGACGAAAAGTGAACACATCCATTAGCCAAGAATGTTATTCTCTACAGACACAAAGATATCATGCTTTTAGTCTGTAAGACTGAAAATAAACCAGCATGAGATATGCAAAGTCTACTACTAAAATACATTGATGTGACAGCACCATGGGGTAGATAAGCGAGACTTTTCATATATATATATATATATATATATAGGTGCATCTCAATAAATTAGAATGTCGTGGAAAAGTTCATTTATTTCAGTAATTCAACTC